TATTTTTCTAACGAATTGAGATAGGAGGCTAAAATTTTGAACACGTGTTTATTTTGCCAGTAGGTGGGTTATGTTCGTAAACGCGCCATATAGGTCCACGTTTTCATAAAGCCTCCATATAACGGTACCTCCTAATATTCGGTATTTTAATGATTTTAGCGGCATTATTCACAGGATTTATTTCAAATTTACTAGTTGCCTGTGCAGGTCCACGTCTTCGTATAGCCCCCATATAACGGTACCTCCCTATATTCTATATATTGATGATTTTAGCGACATTATTCACCGGAGTAGTATTTAGAGTTCGTAATGGGAACTACAGTTTATGACAGAAAATTGTCTATGCAGGTCCAGGTCTTTGTATATGCCCCATATATCAGTATCTCCCTATATTCGGTATTTTGGCGATTTTAAGTGCAATACTCACCGATATTGTTAGAGATGTGCTATTTGAAGTTCGTAATGGGTGCTACAGCCTGTGACAGAAAATTGTCTATACAGGTTCAGGTCTTCGATTTTAACTACATTATTCATCGTTTATTTCAAGTTTCGAATTTGAAAATGGTAATGGTTTATGATGGGGTAATGGGAACTACAGTTTATGACAGAAAATTGTCTATGTAGGTCCAGGTCTTTGTATAAGCCCCATATATCAGTATCTCCCTATATTCGGTATTTTGGCGATTTTAAGTGCAATACTAACCGAAATTGTTAGAGATGTGCTATTTGAGGTTCATAATGGGTGCTACAGCCTGTGAAAGAAAATTGTCTATACAGGTTCAGGTCTTCGATTTTAGCTGCATTATTCACCGTTTATTTCAAGTTTCGAATTTGAAAATGGTAATGGTTTATGACAAAAAATGCCTATGTACATAGGTATAACGGCTATAATCGGTATTTTTAGATTTTAACAAAATTTTTAATGGATTTTATTTATTTTATTTATTTATTTATTTTTTTTTTTTTTTTGGAAAATTTTCCAAATTCGTGCTAAATGGTGGAGGGTATTTTTTAACTTTTTAAAAATCAATTTATTATAAATTTGTTCATATGTAAATGCAAAATTCCCATCCCTGGCTTTGGAAACTTTCGTACAAATGCTTACCAAATGCTTTCGTAGTGTAAGCATGCGCAAATTACAAAGCTTTTTAAATGTGTCTTCGCCAGAGATCTAACTGAAACAAAGAAATGGGTTCCACCAAACACAACGAAAAGTGCTTTCATTGAAGCCAAAGCTTTCAATCCAAAAAGAAACAATTTATTACTGTCATACGTATAACAGTACATATATATATCGAACATTTTTATTATACAAATTATTATTAATTTTTATTGAATTAAAATTAAAAAGAAGAAGAACCAATAAATAATAATATTTCTATTACACAAATAATACATTTATGGTTAATATGCAACACGCATTTTAATTAGATTTACTCCAAATAATATTTTCTTAAATAGCATATAATTAAATTTTATTATTACAAAAACTAATATAAATATATCACTATCTAATTTTTTACGCAAATAAATAGAAAAACCTAATTTTAGGCGGTAACAATGAAATGTGTTGCCCATTACTTTATTTATGCCGTAAATAAACAAATTGTTGTTTCTTTACTCTGTATTTTACTATTTACAAAAACACATACACACACACAAAAACTGCATATTGCAAAAATTGTTTTGTGGTTGTATGCAATTATAATTGTACGTGTATATGTGTGTGTGCGAGTGCATATATTTGTCTACTTACCGTAAGTTTTTTCCATATCCTGTCTATGATCAATTAAACAACTGATGTATGGGTGTACCCTCTCCCCCATTTATTTTTTCTCCTCCTCTCCATACACACACTACGTTACCGATTGTATTGCTTTGCCTGGCTGTAAACCAAAAACTGTTGTTTCACATTATTCAGTTCGATTCAATTTGTCTACGTTTTATGTTTTTTTTTTTTTTTTTGTGTTTACCCATAGTTTGGTTTCTTTTCGGTTTATTTTTATTAATTTAATTAAATATTTTATAATATTTGCAAAAAACATATATTTATGGTGAGTTTTTTATTGTCTTTGAGTCAATTTATGGTTACTGATGTTGACCCAATTGTTTTATATTTATTTATTTAGTTTTACGTTTTTTACTTTTTGTTGTAGTCTTTTTTTTATGAATTATTTTTTTTTCTTATTGTTTTATTGTTACATTTACAAACACATAGTAATTGGTATGACATACCATTATGAGTTCGGTTTTAAATCAACTAGAAATGTTATGATTGTTGAAAGTAGATGAATCTATTCATAGATCAGCACATACAAAATTAAACACACGGCATTAGAGGTGAGAGGCCATAAAAATTCCATATATGAAAAAAAAAAACAGAATCATTGAAAAAGCTACCGAAATTAGATTAAAAATGTTAAGTGGATTTGAATGAGGATTTTCTGGTCTCTCAATCCTCTAATATAAATGTCCATTTTTTAATTGACTGAAAATATTACAAAATTAAAATAAATAGTGCATGAATCACATTAAATTAAAAAAAAAAAATCCCGATATTTTTTTCTGAAAAAATTTACCAGTATATTGTCGGAAATACGATTATTTTCATCATCACTTTATTTTAAATCCCTTTCCATGTAAAACGAATTTTTAAATGAAACACAGGGAAATACCCATCAAATCCTTACCTTTATGTTTTGTATAGAACATCTCGAAATAAGAGCTTCCTCGTCTATACAGAAAATCTTCACAGAAAGGTTTTCTATTCCATAAGAAGACCTCAAGAGGCAGGCGTTATTTCCTGTATAAACGATCTCCAAGTCGATGCCCCTTTATTCCAAACAGAAGGCTGACGAAATGGAGGCACTCTACTCAATAGAAGATTTCGAAGAGTGGCCTTCTATTTTAAATAGAAGACCTCCGTCGGTAGACATTCTTTCCGTGTAAAAGACCTCCAGGAAGGTTTTCTATTTTGAGAGCAAAATCTCTATCTGCATCGTACAGAAGACATGTAATAAGAGGCCTTCTATACTGTATAGAAGACCTCCACTCTGTATAGAGGACCTCCTTAGGAAGGCCTTCAACCTTTATAGAAGACCTCCATTGTTATCGTAGAAGTCCTACACGGGAATGCCTTGTATTCGGTGTAGAATTTTCTCCATCGAAGGACTTCTATTTTGTATAAAAAACTTTCATTGGGAGGCCTTTCATTCTTTCCAGAAGACCTCGACTGAAAGGCCCTCCACTGAAAGGCCCTCCACTGAAAGACTTTCTATTCAGCATAGGAGTCCTCCACAGGAAGGCCTTGTATTCGGTGTAGAAGTTTCTTCAATTCTTCAATTCTGTATAGAAGACTTCCATTGGGAGGCCTTTTATTCTTTCCAGAAGACCTCCATAGGACTTCTATTCGGCGTGGGAGTCCACCATCGGAAATCTTTCTATTCTCGATCGGAATAGAACAACTCTATTGGGAGGCCTTTTATTTTTTCCAAAAAAAAACCCTATTCGGTATAGAGGTCCTCCAAGAAAAGGCTATCTATTATATTCAGTCCTCCACAGAAAGGTCTTCCATTCTGTGTAGAAGTCCCCATCGTTATAAAAAAACTCCATAGGGAGGCCTTCTATTCTGTAAAGAAGAACTCCATTGGTAGACCTTTCATTCTTTCCCGAAGACCTCAACTGAGAGGGCCTCCAACATAAGGCTTTCTATTCAGTAAAGAAATCCTCCGCAGAAAGGTCTTCTATTCGGTGCAGAAGTCCTCCACCGGAAGTCCTTCTATTCTCCATCGGAATGGAACAACTCCATTGGAAGGCCTTACATTCTGTAGAGCGGAACTCCATTGGTAGGCTTTATATTTGGTGTAGAAGTTCTCCATAAACATATAGTTGGAGACCTTCTATTCTGTATAGAAATTCTCCATAAGAAGACCTTTTATTCTTAATAGAAGACTTTCATTGGGTGGCCTTCCATTCTGTATAGGAGATATCGACAGGAAGAGGACCTTTCCGGATTCCTTCTATTTTGTATAGAAGACATCTACTAGGAGACCTTCTATTCTGTACAGAAGGCCTCTATAGGACCTGCATTGGAAGGCTTTCTATTCTTTATAGAAGACCTTCATCGGAGGTCCTATATTTGGATTATAAGAGCTACATCGGGATGCCTTCTATTTCGAATAGAAGAACTCCATCGGGAGGCCTTCTATTTCGAATAGAAGAACTCCATCGGGAGGCCTTCTATTCCGAATAGAAGAACTCCATCGGGAGGCCTTCTATTTCGAATAGAAGAACTCCATCGGGAAGCCTTCTATTCGGAATAGAAGAACTCCAACGGGAGGCCTTCTATTCGGAATAGAAGAACTCCATCGGGAGGCCTTCTATTCGGAATAGAAAAACTCCACTGAAAGGTTTTCTATTCGGAATAGAAACAACAAACACCTCCATGGGAGGTATTATTCTATTCTGTACAGCAGACCCCCACTGGTATACTTTCTATTCTGAATGGAACACCTCTACTGGTAGACTTTTTATTTTGTATGCTGGGAGGACTTCAATTCTGTATAAAGTACCTCCATGTGAAAGACTTGTATTGTGTACTGAGGAAGCCCTCAATTTTTTTTTATCAAAGATTTCCATTGAAAGACCTTTTATTCTGTAGGGAATTTATGCACGGAAGGCCTTCTCTTCGGTATAGAAGTCCTCCACCGAAAACCTTTTTTTTTTTGTATTAAAGACCTCCACGGTGAGATCTACATGTGGTCCTTAAATAATTTCCTTGGTATTTCCGTCATTCTCTAGTATTTTTCGTTTGACCTCTCATAATTTTTATGTCATCCCATTTAGTAAAAAATATTCCCAAATTAAAGTGCATGAGCCTATCCCTTTCATTGTAAGGTGATTATTATTTCGTTCTTTTAACTTTTTTGTTAAATAGGTTTCTTTAAAATACACGGTATTTTGAAAGTAACTTTTGTAAATTAATTATTTTTTTCTATTAGGAAATCGTCGCACAGCATCCGTGCGTTCGGTAGGCTACAGCGATCTCTTTGTTCTGAGCAAAAAAGATATGTGGGACGTGCTCAAAGAATATCCGGCGGCAAGGGTTCGCCTGGAGTCGATAGCGGTTAAACGTTTGGAAAAATACAAGAAAGCACCACTGGAAAAAGGTAATGCTGAAAATAGTTCCTCTCTCTCTCTCTCTATTTCCATCACATTGAAGCTTCTTTTGTACACCAATTCGAAACTCGATACAGTTTGATTTAATTCTCTGCTTTTTTCGATTATATTACATTTCATAATTGACCATTCACAATTCAAAACCATATAAATATATTTTATTTTACTAACAAACAATTTAATTTGATAACAATTTCGTCTATGTTCTTAACAACATCGAAAAACCAAAACATGCAACAACAACAAAATTTTATAAAAAATTCAAATTTTTATTTCTTTATTATAATTGTATGCAAAAAACCAAAAACAAACCCAAAAATACAATACAATACACAGTACAATACTTTAATACAGTTGCCATGGGCCGTTGTCAGTCCACACCGGGTCTATTGGAGACATGTGGTCGCACCACACTCGAGGATATGTATTTACCACCAGCACCGCTAGTGCCATTTTCTGGAATGCAACAAATGCGTCAAACGCATCCCACGGATCAAGTGCAACAACAGCAACAGCAACAACAGTCACAACAACATCAGCCGCAATCATCACAACCGCCTCATACGGGTTATAGGTAAGGGAAACTGTGAAAGCATTTCATACGAATTCTTAGAAGAGAATGAAAGAGAGAAAGAGTTGCTTCAGCTCTTCCTCTCTCTCTCTCTCTCAGTTTTTATAACAGCTATAACAATACATCTTGTCTTTTCTCACTTTGCAGTCGAGCTCCTAGCCCTCGTTCCAGTCAAACATACAGTGAACGCATACAGCGTGCCACTGAATCGCCGGGCTCTATGAGTCCTAGTGTACATAGTTCAGATGATAGACCCCGTAGCAGAGCCACATCACATCATTCAACCAGACCGCAGTCGCAACCAAGTCGAACAGGTAGGTTTCCGTGGGAGTTATGTAGAATATATGTACACAATTGTAAAAAACGGGTACCTGATTGTAACTCCAACGCACGATAGAAACGGCGGAGCTAGAATCTTGATAAGCTGGTTATTTTAGAAATTCGAAGTAAAAAGTACTAAAAATCTTAAAATTGAAAATAAGGTTACAATTGTATTGTAGAGCTAAAGTATGTAGGTAGTTTTAGGAAACTCGTACTCATGTGAACTAAATGGTACTAACTTTGGTACAATTTAAATTTTGGAATTCTGAAATTTGACAAAATATACTTATGTGTAATGAATTGTACTAAATGTAATACTTTTTGGATTTTTAAGAACCGATAGAGCTGCTATCCAGAAAATTGGAAATAAGATTACTGTCAGAGTGTATGATTGAGATATGGAATTTTACTTATATCTACTAAATGAAGTAACATTTGTTTTTCAGCGAACCGACAGGGTGGAATCCTAAAATTTTGAATTGGGATTACTGTGAAAGTGTAGGATAGGAGTATGTAGAAAGCTTTGGAAATGTGTAGCTATGTGTACTGAATAGTACTATATTAGGTACAAATTGGAATTGTGATGAACGGATGGAGCTGGAATTTTTCAATTTGGAATGTGAGATACTGATGCTCCTCGGTATTATTGGAATTTTGAAGACGTGGACCTGCGCAGACAAGTTTCTGTCTTAGACTGTGGTATCCACTACGAACTTCAAACACAAAATTTGAAACAATTCCGGTGAAAAATATCGCTAAAATCATCAAAATACCGAATACCAGGGGGTACCGTGAATGGGGGCTATACCAAGACGTGGAACTACACAGACAATTTTCTGTCATAGACTGTAGTGTTCATTTCAAACTTCAAATACCAAATTTAAAACAATTCCGATGAATATTGTCACGAAAATCATCAAAATATCGATTATCGGGAGGTACAGTTATATGTGGACCTACATGGCCCATTTTCATTACCAAAAGTCTTGCAGACATAATATACATTTGAGTAAAATTTTATTAATCTACTTCAATTCGTTCAAAAGCGGATATACGGACGGACATCGCTAAATCGACATAGATGCTATTCAAGAATATATATACTTTGTGGGGTCTAAAATGTATATTTCGAGGTGTTCCAAACGGAATGACAAACTTAATTTACCCTCCATACTATGGTGGAATTACGAAATTTGATGTTAAGGTTTTGGACATGCGTGGTATAATTGTACGAAGATTTTGATAATAAATTTAGGGATGGGTCTTAAGATAGATCTGGAATTCTGAAATTTGATATGGAGGCCAGTGCGGATACATAGTATTAAGATAAAAAAGGTGGATTTGGGAATGCGTACTGTGGATAATCGAAAAGCACCAAATGGTACTAATATGCCCTTGGGTGAATTGATAGAGCTTGAATCCGTAAGCTGGATATTAAGGCCACTGTTCGATTCTAGGGTTTATATATGGAGGCATTGAAATAGTTTTGAACTGAAAAATTATGGAATGGTCCGGCTAACGTCCTCCTCGGCAATCTTCAAAATGAAAGATTTTGAAGATTTTCTACTATTAAGGGTGAACATTTTCCTATTATTTTTTCCGGAAAAAGAAAAACTTGAATTTGATTTTGAGTACTACAAAGGTCTAAAATGAACCGTTTGAACGAATCTAAAATTTTAAAGTGAAATTTTCGCTGACGAATTACCATGCCTTTGCTAGTCTTTAAATAAACTGGCATAGGTTGAGAGTATAGTACATCTGTTAGCAAATTCGACTAATTTCATTTAGCTTGTTCTTATTCAATTTTTGTGCAATGTTAAAAAAAAAATCACCAATATTCTCTCTTTCTACATTAAAACCAAATGTAAATAATGTCTTTCTCTTTTTCCAGGTCACATTTGCGATTCCAGTTCCCACTTGGATTGCTATGGCACCGGCACATCGGCGGCGAGTGGTGTTGGTGGCGGCACCACACCACTATTGGGATCCCATGAAGCCCTCGAAGATGAAATTAAACGGCTGCGTGAACGTTTACACACAGTCGAATCGGAAAATCAAGCTTTAAATACGAAATTGTCGCAGCAACAATGGGATCTGGAGAATCGTTTGGCCGAAATCGAAATGCAAATATGTGGCGTATCGTCAACATCGAGCTTAGATCCGGAACATGAGACCGAAGAGTTGGAGAGAAATCGTGAGAGTATCATATAACACGGGAGCGAGCTGCCCCATCAGCCGATCGGTATGACGATGATGTACATATCATGTTATTCATGACAACCACCATTATCACAACAACAAAAACAAGAATTACAACAAGAACTTACCTTCATTATTATCACTCTCAAATGTTCGTATCATCACAGATCATCATCAGCATCATTATCAGTTTTGATGTACTCCATATCTATCTTCAGATCATCAGCAATAAAATTATAATTGAAACAAGCAAAACCAAAAAAAAACAAAAACGAAAAACAAATTCATAATTATTTCAAATTGTTATTCGCCCATTCAACTTTGTTTATTGTTAAGTGTTAAATTATCAAATTATCTATCTTTCTCTGCTAAGAATCAAAACAGAAAAAAATCGAAAAAAAAATAATGTTGACTTGTTTGTAAATGAAAGAAAAATTGTGGCAATGTTAGTTTTTTTTTTTTTAAATATTTCGTTTAGTTTATTGTTTACTTTGTAGAATTGTATGGAAATATTTTTCTTAAACTAATTTTGGTGTTTTCTTTTAGATTTTGGTATGCCAGTAAGGAAGTGAGGGTTATCAATTAAAAAAAAAAAAAAAAAAAAAAAAAAACAAGTAAGCAAAGGCTATAGTCGTGCGGGGCCGACCATGTGATACCCTACAACACTACAATATGTTAAAAGCCCCCTCATGTCCAAATCCATTTTGGAAGATTTCGCTTTTGAAATTATGTCACGGAGCACTGCGCAGATATTACCCTCAGCATTTTGACCGGGGACATTTTCCCATTATTTTTGCACTCCATCGTGCTGTTAGTTTTTGTGGTCCATTTTACGGCTAAATATAATCCAATGGTCATCCAAAATGCTAGAATTCTTCCCTGTGCTTAACTATCTTCTCAGGCGTATCGATTGGCTGCAATTGTGTGATCAGGAATTTTTTTCTGTTTTTGGTTCATTTGAACCCCTAAATATTTTGCGATCATCTCCGAAAGCAAAATGCCCATCTGTGTCTTCAAATTTAAACTCATCTATATGATTTGCTTGTCTACGATATTTGGCTATATTCGTCAACGAAATTAGCACAAAAAAACAGAAGTTCGCCTATTGTGTATTTCGGATATCGCCTGTAAGAAATGTTGGTATTTTTGCACACAAAAGTAGTGGTCCATTTTAGCCGCTGTCTTAAATTCTATCTTCATGCGAAATTTCGTGTCCTTTTGTTTCTATTTGTGACCTTTATAAAGGCTTCAAAATCAGGAACATTTTGAGTTGCTGGTCCATTTCAACCCCTAAATATATTGCGGACATCATAACGTCTAACCCTACCTTTGTGAAAAAATTCGTGATGATCGAACGATAAATAATAACCCCAACCTGTGTTGTAAATTGAAAAAATATTACAAAATATACACTTCAATATTATAAGTCAAATTGAAAAAATCGCATGATATAAAAAATATGAAAAAATAAAAAAATGTCACAAAATACTACAAAATATATTTTGACATCATTATTGGCATCATTTTATGTGATTTTTTTAGAGTTTATTCCTTTGTGCCAAAAGGGGCATTCTGAATTGACAAAATTTTTCAAAATCGCTCCAGCCATTCTGGAGATATAAGCTAACATCCCCTTCCTTTGTATATATACATTGTATATATTTCGCTATATATATCCGATATTTTTACTATCGGCATCTACGTAACGGTCAGAAATGACCTTTTCGTCTATTTGGGACTGCGCAGGCATTAAAAAATTCGCGGTTTAATGGAAAATTTGACTTTTATTTATCACAAATGCTATGGCCTATTTCAACCACTAAATATTACCCGATGACCATCAAAATTGGAAAGCTCCTGTCCAGCCCTAAGCTCTAGCCGATTGGTCTATAACAAGCAACTGCAAAATCAGGATTTTTATCAGTTTTTGGTCCATTTTAACCCCTAAATACTATGCGATCATCTTCAAAAGAAATAGGGCTCTATTCTGACCCTAACCCCACCTACATTTTAAATAATTGCGACCTGTAGAGTGATTACAAATTTACATGGACAGACGGACAGACGGACGGACGGACATACATAGCTAGATCGACTCAGCTCGGCGAGATAGGAGGATCCATATATACTTTCCTATGTGGGAAATCAATATTTCGTGGTGTTACATAATTTTTGGCCCAATCAAACTTATAATACCCCCAACACAAAGTGTTGTAGGGTATAAAAAAATCAATTGCAAGTTCGGACATAATAGATTTTTTAATTGCAAAAATGTATGCATTTTCAAAACTGGCGTGGGTAGAACTATGGCATGCATTAAAACTCGTAAGATACTGTGGGTGTAGGGAGACTTAGCATACATTTATAATTTTTATACCCTCCACCGTACCATAGAGGTTATATTAACTTTGTCATTCCGTTTGTAACTCCTCGAAATACTCATGTCAGACCCAACAAAGTATATATTCTTGATCAGTGTAAAATTCTAATTCAATTTAGCAATGACCGTCTGTCTATTGTAATCACGCTATCTTTCGAACGAATTGAGATAGAAGGCTAACATCTTGCACACATGTTTATTTTTCCAATAGGCAGGTTAAGTTCGTAACTATGCCATGTAGGTCAACGTCTTCAAATAGCCCCTATATAACAGCACCTCCCGATATTCGGTATTTTGATGATTTTAGCAACATTATTCACCGGAATTGTTTCAAATTTGATATTTGAAGTTCCAAAGGGATAGTACAGGTCCACGTACCCACCGAAATTGTTTGAGATGTCGTATTTGAACTTCGTAATGAATGCTAAAGCCTATGACAGAAAATTGTCTATGCCGGTGCAGGTCTTCGCACAGCTCCGATATAGCGGTACCTCCCTATATACGATATTTTGATTATTTTAGCAACATTATTTCATCAAGTTTCGTTTATTTCAAGTTTTGAATTTGAATATGGTAATGAATTTAGACAAATAATGCCTAAGTGGGTCCACGTCGCATATATACCAATATAACGGCTATATTCGGTTTTTAAGAATTTTATTTTCAAAATTAGTTTTTTGAACGACCTCCAGATTAACAGCCATTAATTATACCCTGTACCAAACACATTATGGAGGGTATATTAAGTTCGATATTCCGTTTGTAACTCTTCGAAATAATCATTTTAGACCCAATCAAGTATACACAGGGTGAGATAAGAAAACAGTAACATAGTCAAACGCAAAGTCAATTCTTATTGTTTTTTAAACTTTTTTTTTTGAAAGAAAGAAAAAAATATTAAATTTTAGAATAAGTTTAGATTTGTTCGAATTGGTCACCTTTGGCACAAATTATGGCCTTCAAACGGCCAATGCCACCATCAAACACTGCCCGAATGTTGCTCTGCGGTATTTTGACCCATTCCCGGCGAGGCGCTTGCTTGAGGTGATCGACACTTTATTACTTTTTAGTGCCAACCGTGCTTTCCAAAATACTCCAGACACAATGGTCCAATGAATTGGTATCCGGAGATTTTGGTGACCGTTGTGCGCTGGAAATCAAGCGAGGAATCTCATTTTTTGGTGGCACGTGCTGAGTGCGATGGTGCTGAGTCCTGTTGGAATGTCCAAAGTCTGCGGCCAAAATATTTGCGTGCCCAATACCAATGCTTTAATATACCCTCCAGAATATTTTCGCGATAATATTTGGCATTTGTTCTGATGCCAGGGTCGATTAATACGAGCAGAGAGCGACCATCGGCCCAAATCATCACCATGTTTGCGTGGCCGATGGACGCCTTGGGCACGCAAACATTTCGTCTCTTGAGTTCTGGTGGCCAACCGAAGGTGCACATTTTCAACTGACCTCTTTGGCAAATTAACACGATCATTTTGTTTGTATACAAACTGCTGGACAACGAATGTTTTCTCTTTGGAGAAAACCGAACTCGGCTGTTCACCACTTTTGGCCAAGCGAAGCAACTCTTTAGCTTTTTTGAGTCTATTTTCTTTCTGTTGCGGCGTAAGTTCTTGCAATTTTGGAATTTTAGCTCATTTTTCGGTATATTCCGAATGGAATATTGCAATATGTTCAGCTCACGAGCCATTTTTCGGCCACTGCGACGCGGGTTTCGATCAAGTCGCTTCTTTACTTTTCGAACCATTTCTGCTGATGTTGCTGTTTTCTTCTGTTCACTTCCTGATTACAACAAAACTTCACTTCATTCTTCCTCATGGCATACCAATTTTATTTTATTATCTTGTGCATTGTTTTCATTCAATACAATTTTCATACATTTAATTTTTAAACCATTAACATTTTCAAATAGATATGTCTAGTAAAAATATATTCTCATTAAATGTTTGCTTATTGGTCAAAGGTTGTATACCACCAATCAATGTTTGAATGTCTTCTTTTTGCTAGATTTCTTTTTTTCAATTTCATTTTCAAAATCGGATTGTAATGCCAAAAGATTGATTTGATAATTTTTTGTATTTAAATAAAATAATCATAAAAAAAAACTATTCAAGAAAGAGAAAATTATGTTTTTGTGTGTAAAATCAAATGAACGAATTTCAATTATTTGTTCTTTTCTTTCAATTATCTATTTATAATTCTTAATTGTTAAGTGTGTATATAAGCATAAAAATCAATGTCTGTGTTTTTTTTACGAAAACCAAAAATCTCATACATAGAAACCGACAAAGACAACCAAATATTTTTTACCCTAGAACATTTTTTTTTTTTGCAAAAATTTTATAGAAAATTGTAATTAAACTCTCTTGCTCTATCACCCAGTAATCATATAATAACTTGTACAATTTTTTCATCGTTTGCCTCATTAATTTCGAAAACTAAACAAAACCAAAAATGCTAAATACTAAACAAAATCGCCAATAAAAAAAAACAACAAAAACAAATTAAACTCGCATCCAATCAAATAAACTCCAACCCGCAAAACCAAATCATGTGAATTTTGAAACAAATCAACAAACAAAACACAAAATTATCCAAATCGAATAAAAAACACCATTTAGGAGCAGCAACTGCAACAGACAACAACAACAGACGAGCTTTAATCGATGAGGTTGCATCACCTCCGGCACATCGTTCAGAGTTGAATTCGTACAGACGATTCTCAAATATGGCCACCCAAACACCTACGACATCATCGAAAAGAATCCACAACAATGGCGAAGGCGACGAAGACG